TCCCCTTAATTACAGACCTGTATCATTGATAATTGTAGTAGTCGAAATATTGCAAAAAATAATTAAAGCCAAATTGGTAGAAAACCTAGAGCAAAATTATACAATAACAGGGGCAAATGGTATGGTATTCGATTTGGAAGGTCCTGTGTAACGAATTTACTTAATTTCTGATACAACCACAATCTACTTAAACGATCTACCAGATGGAATACATTATTATATGAACATGTTTGCTGATGATGCTAAGATAATAGTGAAGATAAGAAACTTAGATGACTGTCATGCCCTTCAAGAAGACCTGGACAAAATAAGTATATGGAGCACCACTTGGCAAATGGAATTTAATGTGAATAAATGCCATTTTATAGAATGGGGAATAGAACATAGACCCCACACAACATACAAATTATGTGAAATTTTTTTTTTTACAAAATTCTGATAGAAAGAGCGGTTTCTGATAGAAAGATAGGTGGTTTCTAGACAGAAAACTGTCACCTTAGGACCACACAATCAACATTGTGTGAGGAGCCTATGCTACAGTTTCCAATTTCAGAATTGCTTTTAAATACATGAATGGTGAGATACTAAAGAAATTGTTCACAACCTGTGTGTGACCAAATTTGGTATATGCAGCAGTTGTGTTGTGCCCATATCTTAAGCAGCACATCAACAAACTGGAAAAGGTGAAGACATGCAACTAAATAGCTGCAGAAACTGAGACAAGTGTTACGAGGAAAGGTTAAAGGCATTGAAGAAGAAGAAGATAAAGAGGTCCCTTATGAATTCAAATCTCAGATATACAATGGAAGGAAGCCAGAGTGGATGAGGTGATGTGCAAATGAAAAAAAAAGTAAGGTATAAAAAATGGAGCTAAAGGCTAGATGAAGAGAAACTAAACTCCTCTAAGATATTTTCATCTAGGGCGCTATCTTCAGCAGCATTTTTCATACTTTACTTTTTCCGGTCAACCTGGACTTGTGATCCTGTGGTCCCGGGTTTGATCCCGGGCGCCAGTGAGAAACAATGGGCAGAGTTTCTTTCACCCTATGCTCCTGTTACCTAGCAGTAAATAGGTACCTGGGTGTTAGTCAGCTGTCACGGGCTGCTTCCTGGGGGTGGAGGCCTGGTAGAGGACAGGGCCGCGGGGACACTAAGCATTGAAATCATCTCAAGATAACCTCAACACTTCTGCTGTAATCTCACCTATTATCTGGCCTTGTTAATGGCTTCCTTTCCCTGTACTGCAGTTTCGACTTCATAAGAGTCCTCTCATTTCATATACTGTATATGGGTTGGATTATCATATACTGTATTGTACTGTACAGTATATCTCAGAATTAAGAGAATTGATTAAAAATTGACAAGTGGTTTCCAAATGTGTGTGGTCACTAAATTAGGGCAGGGAATAAATGCAAAGACAAAAAATTTTACCGGGTCTAAACACTTTCAGATTAGACTGAAAATTTTCAGTCCAGTCAGTGCTGATAAATTAGGGTTCTAAACCTAGGAAAATAAGAAGCAAGTACCAGACATCAACTAAACAACAGTGAAATGGCCCCAAGTAAATTGTGAAGGATCGGAGTCATGATTAGTAGGGATCTAAAACCAAGAAGTAAACGCACGAATGTTCAAAATAAGACAAAAAGAATACTGGAATTCATATTAAGTTCTACAATAATAAAAGGTTTAATGTTACAATATTCCTAAACTTAATCTCTGCGACGGCGCTGGAACCAATCGTATTGGTGTATGCCTTTCCATTGGAGACTTTCAGCGCCGTGGAGAGGGGTGACCTGCTGCCTGGGTAACAGCTTCTCCTCCATATCAACCTTCCCTGGCTTTGCGCCCTGGTGAGGCCACTCCAGATCGACAACCAGAGCACAACTCCATAGTCTCCTGAGACTGATGGATGCCTACTATAAACTTAATCTTGCTTTGGTAAGACACCACATGGATTTTAAAATGCAATTTTGGGCACTGTAATACAAAATGGATTTAATGCTTGAGGATACACAGGTCAATCGACTATGACTAGGTCAATCACAGGCATTAGGAACATTACTTATTGCAAGTCCAAGAAAATTAAATTTACATTCCCTTAAAGTTGCTGAGTGAGTAAGATGGACCATGATTGAAATGTACAAATGGATAAAAAAAAAAAGGTTTAACAAAGGGAATAAATAAAGTTCTATATAATTAATCCAAATTAGAACACAACACGGTTTACTTAAATTTTTTAAGTTTGGATTTTGGTAAACACTTGTTCACAAATAGGGTTACAGATGTTGCGTGAGTTGCCTATGAAAGTATAAACAAACTAGTTACGAAGTTTCAGGCATAAATTGTATAAGTGAGAGTTGCAGTTCATGGATGTTTTAAATAGGAACGGCCTTTCACAGGACAGTCAGCCTTATGCATTTTTTATGCTACCATACATGGCAGGAGAGTGCAAAAGCCATTTAGTATACCACCAAACTCGACCTTACCTTGAGCAAATGTGTTAATACTGAGCAAAGCAATTATCAAAAGAAAATGCCAAGCATCATCTGTGCTTGTTCAAAAGTTCAGAATGCCAATAAGAGAGCAGAAAGGCATAAACATGTGATGTTAAAGGGAATCAGATTCACTAACAATTTGATCAAAATAGTAAAGCAAAATGGCTGATCCTGAACATCAGGATATTTCCAAGAGGTTTGTGACTGTTAGCAGGAGAATGTAGCTCTGGCAGTAAGAAACAGATCTCTGATCCATTAAGTGCCCAGAGTTACCCATGTTAATATTGAGGTCATGGATCCAATAAGTCAGTGAAGATTAAATGCATCACCTGGAACCTGCCACTATTATGCACGGCGTGTATGTAAATATGGGTTATCAGGAAGAACTAATGGAACATGCAATTATAAACACCCAACAAATTTCAGAACTATCCAAAATATAGGTACCTGTTGCTCTGAAAATTGCAAATTTTTCCACCCAAAACTGTAAAGTCACTAAACAAGAAGGAATGTTTTAAGAGAGATTGCCCAGCATTTCATATCAAAGGAACCAAGTAAATAAAATCAAAAGAATGCCATTATGAATACAGTAACACCCATACACACCAGGGAGATTTTTAAGAGAGAGAGGAAAAATATGCCAAGAAATGTCTAAACTCTACCATGAACTTGGTCAAACACTAGACAGGACACAAAGTGGCACCCCTACCAGAGCCACAAATATTAATATCAAGAAAAAATACCCAACACTTCCACAAACACGATAACATCTTTTGTATTTTTTTTTTTTTTGAGATATATACAAGAGTTGTTATATTCTTGTACAGCCACTAGTGCGCGTAGCGTTTCGGGCAGGTCCCTGGAATACGATCCCCGCCGCGAAGAATCGTTTTTACAACCAAGTACTCATTTTACTGTTGAGTTAAACAGAGGCTACAGTTAAGGATTTGCGCCCAGTAAATCCTCCCCGGCCAGGATACGAACCCATGACAAAGTGCTCTAGCAACATATAAGGCATCAAAACATGCAAAACAATGTCCCCTTTATAACTGTTCTCCTAAATGAGACAAATGCAATGTTTGCAGCTTTAACTAAAACTTCCACAAAAGATCATTATGAGAGTGAGGAATGAATACTGAAATTCAATATTTACAGATGTAATATAAAACAGGCTGCAAAATGGGGTAAGTCAGCTGCATAGAGCTGCTAAGCACCACAAATGATATGGTTAAAGTGCTGATAATCAAAATAGACATTCTAAATCTGGTTAGTCCTTGTATATAAATCACTAGATGCCTATCCTCAGCAGTTTAAGACCAACTTACAAAAGTAGAATATTGCATAGAAAATCTCTGAAACCCTGCCCCAGTCTGGAAACAACCCATGGCATCTAGAGGTTATCTAGAGATGATTTCGGGGCTTTTTAGTGTCCCCGCGGCCCGGTCCTCGACCAGGCCTCCACCCCCAGGAAGCAGCCTGTGACAGCTGATTAACAACCAGGTACCTATTTTACTGCTAGGTAACAGGTGCATCGGGTGAAAGAAACTCTGCCCATTGCTTCTCGCTGGCGCCCGGGATCGAACCCAAGACCACAGGATCACAAGTCCAGCGTGCTGTCCGCTCGGCTCACCGGCTCCCCCGGCATCAGGACTTCTTCAAATTTTGGTAAAGTTATATTTATATTTTGTTGTAGTATTGCTCAAGGTCATAACAAGGTCGTAACCTCAATCCTCCTCAACGCTCCTTAACTCCTCCTTAAGCTCCTTAATCTACCACAACCAAGTTACCAAAATTATCATCTTTAGCTTCCTACTAAGATCAATAAATGACAGACTTGTCTTCAGAGCCTAAATTGTTTTCTTTTAACATTTAAAATTAAGTATCGTTTTCTAGTATTTTCTGGCCTGATCTTTAGGCAAACAAAAATAAAAAATTAAATATTTAATCAATGCCCATAAAATGTACATCTTTACTGTAATTAAAGTTGACACTTAGAATAAAAAACATGTAACATACAGATTGGTTCTCAAACATTTATGTATGAAGTAATGACTTTTATTGGAATTATAGTTCAAGAGAATATTTTCTATTTCTATGACTATTTCTAATCAATGTGCCTCTTTCAGCAACAGATGCATCACATGATGATATTTACAACCACTGATTAATACAAGATAGAAAATACTTGAGCAATTTAAAGTTAAGATCAAATTCAGAAGCATCTCATGGCTCATTACCAATTTGGAGTATACCAATACTGCATTAGGGTTTGCAAGGCAAAATATAGATCTTTTGAAGAAATGTTGGTCCACACAACCTTCCTTATATCACTAAAAATCAAAATTGTAATCATTTACTGTCTAATAGTATTTGAAAAAATGAAAATGAATTAGTCATTTCACAAACACTATACCAGCATTTCTACTACCAGTTAGAATGTGTGTTCCTAACTGCTGTTTCATATATGCTTTTGATAACATGAGGCAAATGGAAATAAAAAGCAAGTCAGTTTACAAAAACATTGTTTCATTTTGTACAACAACTGCTATACAAAAACTAATGCATGTGGTTTGTCCATGTTTCATCACAAAAAGCATTGAGCAAAACTTGAACAGTTTCCTTCGCCTGATGCATCAATATTTTTTTTCGCTCCACAAACTAACAACACAAGAATAACATTAATAGTAAATAATAAATATATATAAACAGAAATGGTTATTTCATGTTATGCAGGGTAAATATGACTGCTGGTGTTACCATGAGAGTACCTGAGGCGTATGAACCAAAGTTAGCTTCCAAAAGTCACTGGGACATACGGAAACTAGGGGGAGAAACTCCATTACACATACAACGGAGTTCCAACAAATCTTCTCACAGAGAAGATGATTTTCAAAATTAAAAAACCCTCACAACATAACACATACATGCTGATGATACAAGCTCTGCGTAGTATGATTATGATTATGATGCATAAGTAGTAAGTACAATACAAAAAAAAAAAAAAGAGCGGCTCAAGATTAAACATTTCTAAGTATAGATGACTTTCTGGTTCTAAAAAGTCATGTTGTGGGGAAAGAAAAATGAATCTATATAAAGTGAAAATGTTGAGGTTAAAGATGTCACAACCACAGCCGCAGTAGCAGTATTGGACCGTGGTAGTGACTCATCACAGCCGATGACCAGAAGACCTGTGCAGCGCCTCGTCCTCCAGTGTTGAGGAAGATCCCGAACAGCCACAGAGGAAGGTTGGTTTCTGCAGCAGCCCGTGGCTCTCAGGGTTCTTGTGTGTACTAGCAAGTAAATGTGCACTGAGCCTGACACGCTGCCACACTGACCAAGCATGGACGAGTTTTGGTATTACCCAAGCTGGTGTTGCAGGTGGTGGGGAGCGAGTGGCAAAGGATGGGCGGGGCTAAGGGTCTGGGGCACCCTAATTTTGGGACGTGCTAAAACTGACTCGACTAGTCATGGAATGCTTAGCTGTCTAAGAAACTCACAACTGCCTGCCAATTGACCCGTAAGTGTGCTACAAGAAACAAAGATTGTGTGTAAACATGGAGTTGCAACAAGGACTTCCCAGTGCAGGCTGGCCAAGAGCCATACCCAAACTAAGCAGACACCAACAGAATACACTACACGTGTGTTGTGAGGCCATATCCAACCACCTGCACCCACCACCAGCACAGCCCCACGCTCCTGACCCTCCCGAGCTGGTCCTCACCACTCCCCCTCTCACCGACTGGCTCACAAAACTATTGACACATTTCATGTACCAAAATTATATCTAATAATGAATCAACATTATGTTTACTTTGAAGATATCTACTAGCCCTTCACAACTCTATATAACAGGCACTAAATTGTACGTGCCATTGATATAAATGCCTTGTGGCCAAGATCAGGTAAGGGAACATAACACCAGCTCATGTTGGGTCAGGGAGGCTAGGTCATGTCAGGTCAGTTGCCTACAAATGTTTGCCAGTACTACTGCCTCTGAGAGCTCCACCTACTGGGATCCAAGTCCTTTATGGGTACCTGCAAAGCATCCAAACACCACTCAGAAACCACCAGGGAAACAGCTTATTAGTACACCACAATCAAGGACAAAGAAGAAACATGTATACATATACTATATAGATAATACATGTGAGTGTGTCCCTCTAAGAAGTGATGTCTATATATAAAGGCATAACCAAAGCAATAACAAGAGACTAAGTCTACAGTGTAGATAAGAAAGCATATATACACACATGCAGAAAACACCAGTTACTACAATACACTAGGAAGACTAAGATGGCTTATTGAACAACTTCACATTACAATACTGTACATATATATATAAAAATATATAAACAATTTCAATAAATATAATCACACACAAGATGGAATGTGATTTTAGGAAACAATGACAATGAAAGTAGTGTAATATGAATGTCTGAGTATTTAAGAAAAATACATAAAATACATATAGAGAAGAAAAGTAAGAATATATAAATGGTACACCACTCCCATAGGCAAAAGATTGAAGCTTATGTACAAAACACACAAACATAGCCACACATGCAAAAACTAAAAGGCACATCCATATCAACATGAAAAGCTCACTTTTTTTGCATTAAATGCTATATTTAACAAACTTAAAGCTGAGCACTGGGTGATTTGTATAAATATACACACTTTACGTATTAATCAGCTTGTCTTCAATTACGGAGCATATCAATGTCAACTGCATTTAACTTCAAACGCATTTTGCATTCTAAGTGTTTTAATGCACCTGCTCCCGTGAACCTATTTTTTTTCTCGGGTACTTTTATTTGGCAGTAATATTACGATCCTTAACAAAATCTAACTGGGACTTTCAAAAATGTTTAGTACATCGCTATACTATCACAATAAGTGGACGTACAGAGTTCCATGGAATTTTCTTCATGTGCCATTCTATTCAGAGTCGGTTCAACATTCGGCGAGAAATTTTAAGCTTAAGACTTCCCTTTAAACTTTCAAAACAATCACTCTCAACTCCTACACTTAACAATCATTCTTAACCATGGGTCGAGCACCTTAAGGTGCTATGCGCAGTGCAGTGGTTAAGAACTAGAGGCTATTAACTCAAAGAACTTTATAAATTTTGATTATACTTGTATATGTTATTAGACGCAGAAGCATGCAAGAAGGAACTTTTTACTGTAAATGAGAATACTACCATCACACAATGATATACTGTACACAAGATTACTTCTATGACCAACACTTTCACAAAAATTCTCAACAGTAACCTGTTATTTAAATTCAATTGCATATGTAAATAACTAGAAAGACCTGTGTGTTGTCTTACAAAGTAAGTGAATCGCAGATACATTTTCAAAATTACACCAAACATCAATACCACGAGTTTTGATATATTTGATGTCAATAATGAAAAAAAAAAATACACTTGTAATATGAAGCAAGTATTAAGTTTGCATGGAATTGACTCTACTGTTTGTTCAATAGTGAATAGCGCACACACACACACACACACACACACACACACACACACACACAGACACAGACACAGACACAGACACACACACACACACACAAAAAAAAAAAAAAAAAGCATTGTTCTGCTACAGCAAAGGAAACCTTATATAATACACAAAAGATTAACAAGAATCCTATATATGCATTAAATAAGTTTTATGTACATGTACAAAAAATGCATGCATGCATACATATTTGCATGCTGGTATACATATATGGTAATAAACCACATACACAGCATATTAAATTAACCCTCGACTCCCGATACAGTTAAGTAAGGATATGTATTTAATTAATGGCACCGTTGTGCAGTGTAGCTTATGTATAATATTGAATCAATATTGTCAAGATTTATATACAGTATTTACATAAAACATTTCTTTACCATATTAGTGTTTCATTTCATATATATAAATATATACTAAATATATACTATGTGTATGTATGTATATATGCATGCATACATACATACATGTAATGCATGTGGCCATGCATGCGTGCAGCACGTTTTAGGTTTATATGTTAACACCTGAGCTTGGGGTTGGAATGGAATTCTATCGTATGACATAATATGAAAAAAAGAGCAGTAGCAAATAAAAAAATAAATAATTTTTTTTTTGCTCTATAACACTGGCAAAATTATATTTATATTTATATTTTTAAATATATATATATGCGGAAAAACCACATTTGAAAAATAGAGAATGCTTAATGCGTTTTCGGTTAATTAACCTTCACCAGAGCAAACAAGAATGAAGTGCGAATTCTAATTTCGGCTAATTCGCTCCGTTGAAGGCAAATTAGCCGAAAACACGTTAAGCATTATCTATTTTTCAAATGTGGTTTTTCCGCATACTTGGATCAGTGTTTTTGTGATCATTGTTGCATATATATGTACTGTATGTTTGTATGTATATATATATATACATATAATTTACATTAGTGCATAATGTACACAAACTACCACCACCTAACAAAAAACTATCACTATTCAGGGGGAGGCGGGGGAGGTGTGGGAGGGGGTGGTTCTGTAGGAAGAGGAGGATTCGAGCTTGAAGACATGTGAGAAGGCAGCGGCAGAGCTGGCATGTAGACTGGTGGTGGTGCTGGCATGAAAGGCAGAGGTGCATGAGGGTGGTGTAGTGGATGATGATATGGAGGTGGAGGGTAGTTAAAATTGGGCGGAGGAATTGGGTATGGGTAGAACTGTTGGTATGGATAAGGTCCAGCTTGAACCATAGGAATCATGCCAGATGGAAGGGGAGCACTGTGATATTGGGGATGTTGGGATCTCATGTGGTGGGGAGGTAGGTGCTTCCTCTGCTCTTGTTGGGGATATAGGCGATGAGCAGCAGCCCCACCACCTCGAGGTCTGTACTGACCACCACCCACCTGAGGGGCTGCATGGGTGGACCGTGCTTCACTTCCATTGCGTGGGATCTTTGCAGGATGGACATCACTTGGGCTGCGGTCCCTGTCTCGTTTCTTGGATTCCTTATCTGGACGAAGGCGGTCCCGGCTGATCTTGATCTTTAAAGAGGTAGTGGGATTGTCGCGAGTCAAGTCACCAGCAGGACTACTTTCTGGAGAAGTGGAGGAAGTGCCACCAAATAGATCCTTTTTGCTAAGTTTAGACTTTGTAATCTTAAACTTTGGGATACCTGGAGTAGTATTTGGAGTGGCAGCTGGTAGAGGAACAGTGGCTGGTGCTGCGGTTGTATTAGGGCGCAAAGGAGCTAATGGTTGTTCAGGTGTAAACAAAATTTTATCTTTAGGAATAGTAATTTTAATAGGCCCAGTTCCACCTTCCCCACTACTACGTCCTTTTTCTTTATCCTTATCCTTATCTTTGTGTTTTTTGTGCTTTTTATCCTTTTTGTGTTCTTTGTGTTCTTTATGTTCCTTGTGTTCCTTATGTTCTTTGTGGTCCTTATCCTTGTGCTTATCTTTTTCTTTATGTTTATGCTTCTTTTTCTCTTTGCGCTTGTGGTGCGGATGGTCGTGTTTGTGTTTCTTTTCTGTACCAACGCCACCACTACCAACACCAGGTGCAGGCTCAGTCTGGGGCTCCTGAACTTTCAGATGCTCTGCCTGAGGCACCTTCACACGTAATACTGGATCACTAGGAGTCTTCTGTGTTGGCTCAGCATTCACTGCAGTAGTATTGTAGGATGGAGCAGATGGTGGTTTGGAGGATGAAACTGCAGCAGTTGCAATGGCCGCTTCAGCGCGCACTTTGATAGGAGTACCCGGATCACTAAGAGCAGTACGATACCTAGTGTCTTCCAACTTGGTAACCATAGGAACCAACTCAGCCTCGCCACGTTCACTGTTTCTTCTTTCGCTATCACGAGACTTTCTACTACTGGAGCTCTTTGAAGACTGAGAAGTGATCTGGGCGGGCTGGGGAGCAGGTACTGAACCATTTGTGGTGGTATGGTGGTGTCGCGCACTATGGTAGTTAGGTACTGTTGTTGAGCCAGCGGTTTCACTAACCCGTTGGTCACCGTTCCCACTTACACTACTAACATTTGCTGCAACATGGCTACTGCTGCTGTGTGTAAGTTGAGCCTGGTGTCCAACTTGCTGCTGGCAGGATGCAGGAGACTTGCTCTTTTGATGAGCTGCAGAAGGTAATAAACTATTACCTTCTAATATGGCAGAAATATCAGGTTTAGTTTCTGTATCAGAGTTGTCAAACAGCTCGTCTGGGGGACCATCGCCCAAATTAAGAAAAGTACTTTCACTCATCAAAAAATCACCAAGTGCAAACTCAGGCATTTCACTGTTGTTATAAATTGTGTTGTACTGTGATTTTACCTCTTCTTTAGGCTCAGTCTTTACTTCTGTTTTTATTTCAGTTTTTACTTTCACTGGCTCTTGCTTCACCTCGGGAGGTTTACGATCTGCAGTTTTTTGTTCAACTTTAATATCTTTTTTTCTATCTATTAATGAAGAATCTAAAGACTGTCTAGAGGGTTTTACATCTAATAATTGCTGTTGTCTAATATCAGATACACTAGGCTTAATGTCCACTGCTGGCAACCTGCCATCAACAACACTGCTACTAGTCCTGTTACCCTTCTCATAACGTTCACTATCACAACGTGCACTAATATCCCTCCGCTGCTCCGGACGTGGAGCTTCTGCACCGACACGCACGGCCTCCAAAGATGGCTGCGAGTCGCGTGCCACTTGAGCGGCACCATGTGCCTTATGATTGCTGCTATGAACCGCCGAGGTTTTGACGTGCTCGGGGTGAGCACTTCGTCCACTGCTACTCTTCCCACTCTTAGCACGCATGGGGAGAGATGAATGCAAGGCTGCATGAGTGGAAGCAATGGACGCTACGGTAGAAGTTACATTTTGGGACGAGTGAGACGTCGCCACTATGGTGAATTGTTTGCTGTCACGTGGATCGATACAATCTCGGTCTCTCATTTTCTCCCTCTCGCGTCTTTCTTTCTCTCGTTTCTCATTATACTCCTTTAGGTTCAGCTTTGGTGGTTGCTGGTGCTGGTGAGGTTGTGATGGAGGCACCTTCAAACCTGGCAAACACAAATAAAATAAAATAAGACATTTTAAAATGGTCAAAATTATATACTGTTTATCAAAAATCATCACAATTTAAATTTAATGCGCTGCAAATCAGAATACAGGGAATGACAGTAGACTATCAAGTGGGCTAATTCAAACTTCAAAGACTTATTGATATAAGAAATGAGAAAATCAACTAGAGCTCGGAGGTGACTTGAACCAGCGACCAAGAGACTCCCAGCCGCTGATACTAACCACCGGACCACCCTGACTTGTTACAGGGTGGTCCAGTGATTAGCGTCATCGGCTGGGAGTCTTCCGGTCGCGGGTTTGAGTCGCCACCGAGCTTCACTTGACTTTCCCGTTGATATATATATCATGTTAGTGTGATTCCTCTGTGGAACTTATTGATATATCAAATTCACACATTAATAATTTTCTAAGTTAATCTAAATTTTAAAAGTAATTTCTTTTAGTCCAAATTATCTAAAATATCACCGACTGAAATACATATACAATATACTTGATCATGAACTCTTTACCCACTTTTATGAGGTAGATTTAAAAATACGCAACAATTGGGAGGTCCAGAGCTGATGTAGAAGACTCATGTTACTATAATTGATAATAACTACAACTTATTTGCCCTGTAAGACATGGCTGCAGCACCATATACCTACCTACTCCTCTCATTCCAAAAATATAAATTAAGACTGTTGTTCTTGTGCACTCCGCAACCATTGAAGATTTCACCCCTATACCATATTATTTTGTAAAAAAAATTAGTAGTATCTAAGACCTATGCTTGTTATGCTTCAAGATTGATATACCAATACAGAAGAGGAAACAGTCAGCCAGCCTTAAGTTACAAATGTTGTTAATGCTGTTTAACAGTAGTACAAGCAAATGCAAGATGGCCAAGCATTTTCATAAGGGAATGAACATCATTAAGCCATTTGTGTACAGTAATGGATGACTAAGGCACTTAGGAGACAAGGAACCACAGGAAAACAGATATCAAATATTGCCATAAATTTAAACTCAATTCTACTTCTCCCCATTATGAAACAAAATGACACTTTAATTAAATACTGTAGAATATAAATATTTCTGTGACGGATTTACCGACACTCAAAACCCTTCCTCACGATCGAGCCGATGAAGATAAACGACTGTTCCTGTTAGTTATTACAGTAATTAAGAAAAAATAAACAGTATACATTTGCAAGAATAAAATATAATACCCTTGTTAAACTAATCACCAATTCAAACATAAATGCACAAAACATTATACAAAATCAATGAATAGAAAAAATAATTGTATGTATTACTACATTACCGGTTTTACTGTGTGAATTGTGATCATGAGCACGTGAAGGTATGGCCGATGACGATGACGATCCCACTGCTGTAATGGAGCGTGATGAAGGCACTGTGGACGAGGATCCTGGCTGGCTGCCTTTGGTCCGATCGTCTGTGTGCTGTGATGAATTCATGATCTTCTTGAGCCGATTTGGACATTTATCAAGGATGGCAAGAAACTCTGCTGTCAGTGTCTCTAGTAGCTCAAGGGTCACAGTTTTGTCAACATACCAAAACCAATCTTTGCCCTCTGTTACCCGCTGAATCTGTTGGGTTTGTAACATATTAGTTTATCAATTAACTTACAAAATCACTTACATCTAATATGATAATTTTTTCAAGAAGCAAAGCATGGAGACTACATAAGGGTAGACAAAGAAAGATGATTTACTGGATATACATAGGAACCTTGGGACCTCAGAATGCATGGCCAACAGTCATACACATGTACTGTGTATGTGTATGTACATACAGGTGTGACTAAATACAGTAAACTTCTTCAATTACAAGTCAAATAATAAATACATTTATCTTCATGCCTGATCTTAATTAATTGAATAATTGAATTTGGCCAAGGCCACGAGCTGGAACATGCTGGTTATGAAGCACTTATGGCTCATCTTCAGTTTCTGTAAGACACTTAGAAAGCAAACATAATTATAATTAAGGTTTTGATAAATATATTAAAGCTGATTTGTAATAAAAATTCTATCTCTAAATGATTACCACGAGTAATTACAAAAACTTGGGGAGTCACTTCAGGTCAAACAATATTTCACCAAAGATTTCACTCCAGAAAAGTCTTCCATCTTTTTCAAGACTATGACTATCACTGTACTGCTATCTTGAGGTTATCTTGAGATGATTTTGGGGCTTTAGTATCTCCGCAGCCCGGTCCTCGACCAGGCCTCCACCCCCAGGAAGCAGCCCGTGACAGCTGACTAACACCCAGGTACCTATTTACTGCTAGGTAACAGGGGCATCAGGATGATAGAAACTCTGCCCATCGTTTCTCGCCAGAGCCAGGGATCGAACCCGGGACCACAGGATCATGCGTCTAGTGTTCTGTCCGCTCAGCCACCGGCTCCCTCCCTGCTTAACTTACCTTTTGGTAAATGGTTCTGAGAGGGTAACTGCCCCAACAGCCTAGTCAACCATACCCTCTCACAAATTTATATTCTTCCTATCAAAATTCTTGATGCAATTTGAAGGAAAGATAACCTTCTGATCAGTTAACCTGATTTCACATCTAAACCTGTGTTAATGATTTTCCCCAAAGGTAAATCATTTGATTTTCTATCAATACACAATGACTGTTTTCAGAAACTTGGGAGTTACGTTCTCTCTCCCAGTACAGTCATTAAATACTTGCACTATACAAACTTTTCAATTACTCTCTTTTACTAAGCGAAGAATACAAATCTGTACCATCATATTTTTCCATTCCAAAGAAAGTAGTAATTACCAAAAGAAGACATCAAGCTGGGAAATCTATAAATACGTTTTGCAATTACCTAAATGTAGTTACAGTACAAGAGCTATCTTCTTGAGGTTATCTTGAGATGATTTCAGGGCTTTTTAGTGTCCCCGCGGCCCGGTCCTCGACCAGGCCTCCACCCCCAGGAAGCAGCCCGTGACAGCTGACTAACTCCCGAGTACCTATTTACTGCTAGCTACACTCGTGGTGTCCCGTCTTCCCAGCAATCTGCCATATAACGCTTTGAAATTACTGACAGTTTTGGCCTCCATCACCTTCTCACCTAACTTGTTCCAACCCTCTACCACTCTGTTTGCGAAACTGAATTTTCTTATATTTCTTCGGTAGCTTTGTTTAGTTAGTTTAAATCTATGAACTCTTGTTCTTGAAGTTCCAGGTCTTGGGAATTCTTATCAATCAATTTTATTGATTCCTGTTACTATTTTGTACATAGTGATCATATCGCCTCCTCGTAGCTCTTGTCCTTCAGTTCTGGGAGCCATTTACGTGCTTGATGGGGTTCTGGGAGTTCTTCTACTCTCCAAGCCTGGTCTGAGGCCAGGCTTGACTTGTGAGAGTTTGGTTCACCAGGCTGTTGCTTGGAGCGGCCCGCAGGCCCACATATCCACCACAACCCAGTTGGTCTGGAACTTCTTTAGAAAAGTCTAGTTTCCTCTTGAAGATGTCCACGGTTGTTCTGGCAATATTTCTTATAGTCCCTGGAAGGACATTGAACAACCATGGACCTCTGATGTTTATACTGTAGTGTTCTCTGATTGTGCCTATGGCACCTCTGCTCTTTACTGGTGCTATTCTGCATTTTCTTCCATATCGTTCACTCCAGTACAATATTATTTTACTGTGCAGATTTGGGACCTGGCCCTCCAGTATCTTCCATGTGTATATTATTTGGTATCTCTCTCGTCTCCTTTCTATCTACTTAGTGGCATGCCTTTGCACCTTTTCCAGTTTGTTGATGTGCTTTTTAAAATATGGATACCATACAACCGCTGCATATTCCAGCTTTGGTCTAACAAAAATCGTGAACACTTTCTTTAGTATTTTGCCATCATGCATGTAAAAGCAATTCTGAAGTTAGAAAGTGTAGAAAGAAAGGCTCCTCGCACAGTGTTCTTTAAGTGATCCTCAGGTAATTGTTTTCTATCTAGAACCACCCCTAGATCTCTTTCTTTATCAGAATTCTTTAAAGATTTCTCACATAATTTATAGGTTGTGTGGAGGCTATGTTCTCCTATTCCACATTCCATAACATGGCATTTATTCACATTAAATTCCATTTGCCAAGTGCTGTTCCATATACTTATTTTGTCCAGGTCTTCTTTAAGGGCATGATAATCATCTAAGTTTCTTATCTTCCCTATTATCTTAGCATCATCAGCAAACATGTTCATATAATTCTGTATTCCATCTTGTAGATCGTTTATGTAGACAACGAACATTACTGGTGCAAGAACTGAACCCTGTGGTACTCTACTTGTGACATATCTCCAGTCCGATACATTGCCTCTGATTACTGCCCTCATTTTTCTGTCAGAAAAATTTTCATCCATGTTAGAAGCCTACCTGTCACCCATCCAATATGTTCCAGTTTCCAGAGCAACCTCTTATGTGGAACTCTGTCCAAAGCCCTTTTTTAGGTCCAGACAGATGCAGTCAACCCAACCATCTCTTTCCTGTAATATCTCTGTGGCACAATCATAGAAACTGATTAAATTTGTTAAACAGGATCTCCAGATTGAAAACCATACTGTGTTATTATAGTTTTCTCCAGGTTTTCTACCCATTAATTTGAATTATTTTTTCCTATATTTTGACTATTACACTTGTCAATGATACAGGTTGAGAGGGTCTTCCCTGCTGTCATTTTTGTAGATTGAAACTATGTTATACATTTTACACACATCTGTTATGACTCCTGTACACAGGGAAGCCTGAAAAATCAGCTGAAGTGGAATGCTGAGCTCAGGTGCACATTCTCTCAGAACCTATGGTGAAACCCCTGGACCAACTGCTTTGTTCTTACTTAGCTCCTTGAGCATTTTTTCCACTTCATCTCTAGGCACCTATGTGCTCTGTTGTTCTCTGGAATTCTAAATGTGTCTGGTTCCCTGAAGATTTAATTTTGTACAAACACACTTTGGAACATTTTGCCTAATGTTTCACACATTTCCTTTTCATTTTCCGTGAATCTTTTTCCTATAGTCAACCTCTGAGAATTATCCTTTGCCTGCAATTTGTTGTCGATACATTTATAGAATAGGCCGGATTCAGTTTTACATTTGTCCACTATCCCTTTCTCAAAATTTTTCTGCCTCTCTTCCCACTGCCGTGTAGTTGTTTCTCGCATCTTTGTATCGTTGGTATGTTTGGGTGTTTGGCCTCTTCCTATATTGATTTCATTTTTGCCTGTCTCTGGCCCTCTTGCAATTTTTGACCCAAACTTTTGCAACCATACATGAAAAGTGCTCAATGAAAGTTTTTTTTCTACATATTTAGAATTAATGTTACTAACCGTTTACAAAAATTGGCAAAGGACCTAAAAGTAAGCTGACAATATAAATTTATAATACAATTATTTATCTGTCTATTGATGCTTTGTTCTATATGAGAACTACTATTTCTTGATGAAGTAGTGGCTAATCATGGAAACTTTAAACTATTAAACAATAGTGGAAAAGAAACATTATTATAAAAAACTAAATATTTAATAAATAGTTAACATGAAGGAGAATTGTGGCTTATGTTTAGCCAAGGAAGAGCCCCATCAACCTGGTAATAGGTGCCTGTTACACTTCCCCCACATTGGTGGTCCTAGACGATACAGTTCCTCTATCACACAACAAAAACCCGAAACGCTTTGCGTAATAGTGGCTTTAGGCATTGTATGTACTAGCTCTACCTATAAGTCAACCAATCTTTGTAAAAATTTATTGTATGTATGTACCTTACCTAAATAAACATTTTATTTTTTTTTAAATTATCACCGACATTTTGCCAAATATGTAACAAAAACTCACCTCATAATGACTCCATGTGCAGACAATGTAGATGCACACGCAGGCCACTACAGTGGGCTTGTACTGCAAACACATCGTCGTCATATGAAGACTGAGGAAAAAGAAAATGGGTAATCAACAAACTTCCTGAGCAACACAATATATATTCTTGACTGAATGAACCCGGAAGCTGTCTTGATTGTGTGACAAAATTGTGAATGGCCCCATTGGTCAGGATCTGATAGTAGTAGTCCTGCAATAAGAGGTGTCAATAGTAAAGCAAAACCTTCCAGCCACAAAATGACTGAACACCTAGAAGAGAGAAGATTATATGCAGATAAAAAAAAAAAAGATTAGCATATACATATGATCTAACCTCCAAAGACAGTGGGAGCCCCATGAAATGTTTGCCCTCGAGTTATGGTGCGGAAGTCAGTTACTGAAGGAATCATCAGCCGATTAGGTAACAAGCACATTACCAGCCATTTGCCTTACCCTCTACATAATACCACTCAAGTCTTCATTACTTAATGATGAGGTTTATGATAAAGCTACATTAAGCAAACTGTTACTTTAGAGAAACCCTCATTTGTAATGACATGAATAGTCACAACCATTCACTACAAAACATTTACAGATAAGTAATATTACACTTCATCAATTCATAAAATGAATAATCAAAATCCCAATTCACCTAATAATTAAAACACTCAAATATTATACAACACTATTGTATTCTCAGTTTTAAAACCCCCTATGAAAAGATTAGTTAATTATCCTGAAAATTTATAGACAACGTGCAGAGCTGCTGCGCATAATTCCCCATCCTCATCACGGGTTGAAATAAAGTTAACAATAACCTTAACTGGTTAACTAATAAACTAAGAGTCCTGCTTGTTAGGAACCTTCAATAAAAGAAATAAACCCCAGCTATATGTCCAGTATCTGGTCTACACTATTGACACCTCATGCAATTGATATTAACTTAATACTTTAACATACTTATTCTAAATCCTGAATATCAAAGTTTCAAAATGAGCTAATGTTATCAACGTTATTGCAACAAATACAGACATTGATGTAAGTAAATACTGTACAGTCAAAATTTTAGTTTTACATAAATAATTTCTAATAGTGTTATTATGATTGCAAATAACTAGTAATGTGCCTTTGACCACTTCAGCTATGATGATCACCATAAGGCTTGGTAGCTTGCACTATATGGGCGGGTAGTGAGCAGGCCGTTGCACTGTTGAATACTCATCAGCCAAAGGGCAGCTGCACATCCACTCCCTCTGAGTTAACTTAACAGTAAAAAGAACCCATATCTGTTGACCCAAGAGGTTCAACAATGAGGGAAGTTGGCTCTTGTGCAATAAACAGATGTATAGCAAGAGAGAGAGGAGCGGAGCACTAGCTAGCCCAGTGCCACCAGGAACAAGTTAGAGTGAGCCATCCATGCCCTTCACATTTTCAATCACATCTGTCCAGCTAAACAAGTATGGCTGTGCATGTCTACTAGTCAACAGTACCTCTCCATCCAGAAAAAACTGACTGACATGCAAGATCTAGCAGAGTAACACTATCTTCTCACAAATATAGAAATAAATTAAATGGTGTTGAGATAGCATCATGAATCCCAAGCTGGGAAAAATTAACACAACTTTGAAAAATAAAGCTTAAATAATTGAAATGAAGTATGATTATTGCACAATGAAATCACATTAATGTGATGTATCAGAGAGTGCTCGGGAGAACCAAATGTGTGGGTTCAAATCCTCCTCATGGCTCCTGATTTTCTCAATATAATTATTTGTTCAATAGAGATGCAATTATGACCATCAATACATCTCGGAAAAAAGGTGAGAAAACAAACTATATATTTTTTTATTGTAGCAGATTAAGGAAATAGTGGGTAAATGTGGCAGGAGTCGATGGCTGGGGTTGGGTGTGGGTAGGTGCGGGAGGGGTCGGTGGCTGGGGTTGGGTGTGGGTAGGTGGCAGGGGATGGATGTGGGAAGGGTGGGTGGTGGTTAGGTGTGGTAGTGGTTGATAGTGGCAGCTGGGTTTCGGGAGGGTAGGTAGGTGTGGGAGGCAGCGACTAGGTATGAAGTGTGGGCAGTGGCTGGATGGTGGGTGTGTGGGAAACGTCCAGATGAGGTATGGGCGAGTGTGAATGCTGTTGGGGGTTATGACTGGTATGAATGGAGTGGGGTATGCAATTGTTGGTTTGAGATAAGTATTGTGGTGTGAATGTGTGTGTAGTTGGTGATGGGTGTGAAGATTAGTGTTGAGCAATTACCTAAATGTAGTTACAAGTTACACTTGTTGTGTTCCATCTTCCCAGTAATCTGTCACATGACGCTTTGAAACTACTGACGATTTTGACCTCTACCACCACCTCACTTAACCTGTTTCGCCTACCGCTCTGCAAAAGCAAACTTTTAGATTTTTTCTTTAGCTTAATTTCATTAGTATGAAACTATGACCTCTTATTCTTGATGTTACAGGTTTCAATAACTATTCTTTGCAAATTCCTGTAACTACTTTGTTGTAGTGATTATATCTCTGTTCTTCTATTTTCTAACTTTGGTATATTTAACACTTCTAGTCTCTCCTTGTAGCTCCTTTCTTTTTAGTTCTGGAAGCTTAGTTCTAGAGGTCTTTGCACCTCATAAAGTTCACTTATGTTCTTCTTGAGATATCGACTTAAGTTTCACTAAGGTTGAGAACAGTTTCTTTAATATTTCATCATCCATATACTGTACTTAAAAGTGATTATAAAATTGGAAAGCATAGTATATACTACTGGAACAATGTCCTATATGTGACCCTTTATTGACAGTCTACTCCAGAACCAGCCCCATATCCCTTTTTTTTCCTTAAAAGTTAAAGTTCTTTAATGTCTTTCAATATAATTTGTAGGTTGTGTGGGGGCCTATTTTCTCCTGTTCCTTATTCCATAACATGACATTTATTCACATCGAATTCCATTTGACAATTGTTGCTCCACACACTTAATGACCAGGTCTTTCAATAGGTCACAGAAAACAATATGAATGTTTAATAAGGATAAGTTTCAGCTGCAGCACCATGGAATAAATTAATATCAAATGGAAAACGCATATAAAACAGTCAAACCAAACTATTTAAAAAAAATAGCAACGTAAAAGATTTGGAAGTAATCATACCAGAAGACCATACTTTTAATTAACACAATAAAGTAGCTGTCACAACTACAAGTGACAGGTTGAATAACAAGAACCTTTCAAACAAGAGATGTCATACCGATGATGATACTTTAAGACACTAGCGCTAAGGTAGATTATTGCAAACTCCATTCATAGCTGGAGAATCTGTGAATCTGTCCACAATTCTCTCTGGAATTTATCCTTTATATGCAACTTGCTTTTAATAAATGTGTAGAAAAAAGCCTAGTTCTGTTTTACATTTGTTAACTACCCCTTTCTCAAAGCTTCTTTCTGCCGCTTTTCTCACTGCAGTGTAGTGGTTATCTTGAGATGATTTCGGGGCTTTAGTGTCCCCGCGGCCCGATCCTCGACCAGGCCTCCACCCCCCAGGAAACAGCCCGTGACAGCTGACTAACACCCAGATATCTAATTTACTGCTAGGTAACAAGGGCGTAGGATGAAAGAAACTCTGCCCATTGTTTCTCGCCGGCGCCTGGGATCGAACCCAGGACCACAGGATCACAAGTCCAGTGTACTGTCCGCTTGGCTCCCTTGGTTTCTTGTTTTTTGTATTACTGGTATGTTAAAGAGTTCGGCCTCTTCCTATACTAAAACCATATTTTGTTTTGTCTCTTATTTCCTGGCCTTCATGCAATTCTCTTCAATGAATCTTGCTTTCTAGTTTTGCATTTGTTTTGGTATAGAATTCACAGTCTCCGTGGTGTAGTGGTAAGACACTCGCCTGGCGTTCCGCGAGCGCTATGTCATGGGTTCGTATCCTGGCCGGGGAGGATTTACTGGGCGCAATTCCGTAACTGTAGCCTCTGTTTAACGCAACAGTAAAATGTGTACTTGGATGAAAAAACGATTCTTCGCGGCAGGGGATCGTATTAACACTTTCGCGCTCTCCGCAAAGGTCACTCAGCCAACCGAATGTGCGCGCTGCGTTTTTATCGCTTAAGCGTAAAAACAAAAATGTGTATACTCTTTTTACTCTTCTGACCTTAGTTCTCATGCTACGTATTTCATTTTGGTACCAACGTGTTCGCAATAAAATTCTCTAGAAGAACATTAGTAAAATAAGTCACGAAACATATAGGGATACCAGCACCAAATAAATAACTACGTAGATCACTCGCCGTGAGCGCCCATCAGCAACAAAATGTTTTTACTCTTGGGATTGTTATCACTTCCACACTTGTCCTACAGCGTTAATTTTGGTATCAATGGACTCGCAATGAAATTCCCAACACGGTGATATGAATATAAGCGTAGAATAATGATGCAGCCCGCCCGCAAGAGTGTGGGAAGTGGTGAAATTGTTACCCGGTATCGGTGACGGGACGACGCACGGCGCTTTGAAAGTTTATACTTATTTCACTCTCATGACATTAATTTTCTATGTACGTCATTCATTTTTATGTCAATGTGTTCGCAATAGAATGTTCTATGTGCCCATAGGTAAAAAATATCAACAAAGCGTAAGTTAGAATAGCGACAAATATAAAACAACGCTGGAACATATCAGTGAGCGTCAAACACACACGAAATATTTTTACTTTTGTTATGTTTGTCAAGATTATACTTGTTGCACACAGTTATTTTTGGTTGTATATTGATCGGAATAAAATTTCCTAAACAGACATATGCATATAATACATGATATGGGGGAAGAATTACCAGTATAAACGGCTAAAGTCACCCACCTGCAACCCGTTTGGGACAAAATACCATTTGATCGAAGTTATCCACACCTTTCATTAACTTATTGTACCATACAGCCTAGTGGTGAGAAAGAGAGCCTCATAGCGCGCAGTTTGAAACAAACCCAAAGTAAATCGGATAAAAATTGAATTTTATACAAATATTTTAAAAGTAGACATAACTTTATGTCCACTATGCGTTTACGTTAGACGAAACC